GGCATTGCACATAGAGCTCAGTTCTGACCTGTCAACGGAAACTTTCCTCCTAGCATTCACTCGTTTTGCTGCACGTCGTGGACCGATCAAAGAGATCCATAGTGATTGTGGTACTAATTTCGTTGGTGCCGCGAATCTTTTAAACCCACTACATAACTTCATCGCATCAGAAACCTATCAACACAGTGTAAGAAATCATTTGTCCAAGGACCAAATTACTTGGTTTTTCAATCCTCCGTCTTCTCCTCACTTTGGAGGACTTTGGGAGGCTGGAGTAAAGTCGACAAAGTCTTTAATTTTTCGATCCATTGGAACCCATCGACTCACAAGTGAAGAACTGATCACCTTGCTTACCAAAATTGAAGCCACTCTAAATTCACGGCCTTTGTGTGCCCTCAGCAATGATCCGAAAGACTTAGAAGCTTTGACGCCCAGCCATTTTTTAACGCTGGAACCATCGACATCTCTTCCGGACCCTTGTTTGGAAAACATACCACTATCAAAAATGCAGCGTTGGCGCTTAGTGACTGATCTCCACCGGTACTTCTGGACCAGATGGAAAAATGAATATTTATCTACTCTCCAGCTCCGAACAAAATGGTCTGATGATGGAAAGCAGTTGAATGTAGGAGACCTCGTCCTAATAAAGGAACCAACGCATCCTCTGTATTGGAGATATGGACGTATCACTGACCTCCATCCTGGCACAGACGGTGTGTCACGCGTTGCTACTGTCCACACTTCATCTGGAGTTCTAACTCGGCCAGCTGTAAAGTTGTGTCCAGTGCCTTCTTGTTGAAGTTCCTTCAAAGTGGGCGGTGATGTTGGCGCTGAAAATTATCAAATATGATATTATGCTAATCAGCTCGACGGCGACATCGTCCCTCCTCCTCCTACCGTGATTTATTGTAATTGTTATTTACCATATGTGTTTTGTTTTGTCTATATGTGATAATTATTGCTAGGTCGTTGGCCTCGCGATTATCAATGTTTTTTGTTTTGTCTTTTTCGTGATATCTTATTATTGCGGCCAACGCCCTTGTTTTGTTTTTGTTACACTCACTCACTCTCATTAATTGTATCGCTCGTTCATAAACACGTTAATTTATTGTTGTTCTATCCTAATCGTTAACAAAATTATTATTGTTCCGCTATTGCAGCGTTTTTCTTTTTTTTCATGTCTTTTTACAATCGTTTTCGGGTGTACGTATTTATTGGTACACACCAACCATAAATTATTATATGTGTACGTATTTTTGGTACACACCAATTTGTAAATTATTATCATTGCGGTACGTGCGTCGCTACTGGAAGCCGTTACTGCAACGGCAATACGGCATCATCGTTATTGGTTATAATAAACGTCCAATTGTTACTACTCCAACCGTGAGTTATTTTTTTATATTATTGCTCTATACTCTTGTCATCCGTGGGTGACCTGATCCGGCGGCTTGTACGTACACTGTGCGCCTCACCGTCATCAAGTGCCACCTACTCCCGCGTAAGTCCGCCAGCACTCGCCGTGGTGTGTGGGAGGCCGCCCAGGTCATCATCGCGACTTCCAGGTCCGCGTAAGTCCGCCAGCAACGAACGTTGTGTGAGAGGCCGCCCAGGTCGTCCAGATCACCGTCGGTCCCGCTCAACCACAGCACAAGACTTCGAATAGTTTTAAGATAGATTTAAGTATTGTTCCTGTTTGTTGTGAGCTCTGTGGTCATTGCACCAGACCGAATCGATCACAGAGACCCCCCTCCCCATAACTAGCCTGCACCATCCTCATTCCGTCAAGTAGGTCTTTCCTATCCTCGTCGTTGTCGTCGTCGTGCGTAGAATTGCCTACCCACCAACCATCAGGCGAAAGCACCTATAGTTGCCTACCCATCCAAATAGTCGGCGCTAGTGGTGGCATTGACCCACCACAATCATAGTAGTTCTCGGGCGTTTCCCCGAGTGGTCCTTCGGGAATGTGTTACGTCAGATGTCTTGGCGTGCACAATAGCTTTCATGAACATCTATATTGATGTACATATGTAAACAATTCATTTTGACCGAAAATCAAACATTAATAATAAAAATATAAATTGTGAATGAACCAAACTTACTTACTGTTGGAATACTGTAAAACGAAATAATAATTTATTTTAGATGAAGTTACTTATTGTGCTAGAATCATTAGGTTATAGTAGTTTGTTATGTTGTATTGGACAATATTGTAGTATTCTGTATTAGTGATATTATAGTCTTTATTTAAAATAAAAGTTTGATGCAAATGCGTTTGATGTATACAAAGTGTAGCTATTATTTGAAGAATAAGCCGATGACAGTTCGGGGGGGGGGGGCTTGGGGTATATGTATATGGTATCAGGGAAAAATATCTCAGCTTGAGTATTTATGTAGAAGGGCATTGATGCAAGAGTCCAAGCTAATTTTTGTTTTATTAAAGAGCATCTATTTGTTTTTGAACTTAATGGCTCTATACTTCTTCGGATACTCGACACAGATATCGTCCATACATTTATTATAAGTGTTTAATCTATTTATTATACATCGAAGTATTATATAATACTATGTAAGATAATAATTTGTTTTTAAACATTTTTAAGTATTTAATTTTGAATAAAATCACAATTATTCGAAATAAACGCATTTTCTATAAGAAAATTTAAATGAAATATTACGTTAGATTATTAGTATCTTTTTAACCCATATAATAAATAATAATTGGCTTAATTTTACTATCAAGAAGAAGTTTTAAAACTTATCTAATTTTTAACAGTATACGATTTTATGGCATCCTATGTTTAATATACTTCATAGATTATTTAAAACTTATTTCTGTAATATATTAATATATTACGTAACCATGATTTTTAATCCTATTGTCAAACTATCGTGTTTAGTGAACTTTATTTTATAATAGTATGAGTAACTTTTTTTATATAATCTAATAATAAAAGTGCCCAATAAATAATAGTATTTTTTAAATAAGACAGGTAATTCGATCTATAATGAGTAATGATAGACCACATTAGACTAATGAGTGTAAAGTCAGAAGTTAAGGTCTCTCCATAAATTATAATAACAATAACGGAGATTGCATTGGACATTCACCACGAATGCCTTCATATTTAAAAGTAATGATAAATAATAGCTTTTCTTAAATCAACTCTTAATAAAACCTAAAAACAATTAAAATGTTGTTAGACGTTAAAGTACATAACTTAATTTTACATAAACTTTTTAAATGTTAGTTTTTTTGTCATCTACTTTTAACTACTTGACTAAAAAATTATAATACATTTAAAATGTTTAGCCGTTTAGGTATCTACCTTAATGATTTTGCATGAAACATTTTATGAAATAAAATATATTTTGAAAAACGTTATTCATAGTCTATATAATGAATCCAAAATGTTTTCAAAATAAATATCTTAAAATATTTAATTATAGTATAAAGCCGATGAATGAACATTGAATTACAAGAGGTATTCTCTTTTACATATGCCCACCATTAGTATATATATTAAGTTTCATCGACAATGGAATGAACTTCCCTTATATTTCATCAGTAGCTCGTTTAATTTTCAAAAGCTCACACAATGTCAATCTCTTTGAAGTACATCTTCAGTTAGAAAATAGCTTGATATATATTTCGATGATTAATTCAAAGCTAAATATACTTTATATGCGTACTATTTTTTCTATTTGATATAATTCTATAAGATTTTAAGAGATTTTCAAACATTTATTTCAGAAATTATTCAATTCACACTAGAATTTATAATAACTTAACATTTAATGATTACCTATTTCAATATAGTATTACATATTTAAATTCAAGTCAAGACTGATTCAAGTATTAAATTATTTATGATTTATTTAATATCGATGTTAAAAACCAATATAGAAGCATGAAATTCACTAGGTAGGTTACCTATCAAAATAATTAAATAATTAAAAATGATATGCTGTAACCAGTTATAACTTTATAAGAATTAGCTAGGTACCTATAAGTAGGTACCTAGCTGTACGAGTTGTTTGAACTTGATTTGATTAATATATTCTGTGATTCACTAATCAACCATTGGATCATAAAAATACCATGCATAAAAAATTATGTTTATTTCTCAATTTACAAATGAAATATGATCCACTGACGTCCTGACGTCAAATAAGTTTTCATGATTCCAATTTACTTGAAATTCAACATAAACTGCGTTACATATGTAATGTGTCCTGTGCATTGAGATTAATGATGTGACTTACAAAAAAAAAACAGAACATTGAAAAGCGTGTTAGGTATCCTGTTTTGAAAACATACAAGTAATTCATAACACTATTAACATAAAAGCATTGGATTGACTTCGATGTATTCTTGATATAATAATTAATTTATATACGTAATTTGATACAACATAATTTAAAAATATATACATACAATTATTATAATTGCTACCTTTTGCTCAACTTTTGCATTGAGCTACACAAACCTTAATTAGTCTGTACATTTTCACACGATGCAACGTAAGTTTTTTCCATACTACCATACCAAACCTAATGTAATTTTACCTCTATATGTTATTACCCGACAACTATAGCCTTCTATCGACAATAATATATGACAATATTCATATCAAGACATCCTGCTGCAGCATGCCTATAATATAACCAAACGCAAGCACACATCAATCGAATAGATTTTTTTTTGTCCGCAAACGCCTAGCTATAGTCTCGTATTAAATATTATAAATATGGATGGGTGCCGATCGCAAAATATTTACCTACAGGTACTTTGTCGCGTAAAATCTTTGTCGAGACCCGTGGTAGAAAAAAACAACCCCATTACGGTTTCGTATCAACAACACGTCATCGGTTAACGACAACTATTGTGGGCGACATAACAATAATAATAATAATAATGTATTATTATACACGTCTAAACGTTTACCTTTTTTACTTACAGGTCTCTGAGATGTGCACGCAACACATTGCACACGCACATGTTCACGTCGTTCGCTATCAATAACCTCCTATGGCTGCTGTGGTACAGGCTGGTCGTCGAGCATCCGTCAGTCGTACTTCACAACGGGGTATGTAAATTTCCGAGCCGTCGTGCATAAATTTGACCCAAGACTGGGGGTGGGCTTTCTAACAAAATACCCAAAGGGTATTGCTCGAACCGAGCGCACAATAACAATATTTTTCCTCCGTTTCACCTTCGAATAGAAAATATTATGCTGTCACGACTATGTGCGCTCGCATATTACGACCGCGATATTATATTATGTACACTGCTGTGTGTTATAATAACTTATATAATAACATGTTCTCGAAATAATAATTTCCTATCAGTTTTTCATCAGCACCGCGTGTTCATTTCCATGACTCGTAATGTACACAAGACCGCAACGGGTATTTTTGCTCGCGCTTTTTAATCATATATATTTATTTAAATGTACCAACAATTTTACATTTTTTTTTTTTCACTTTCGTATTATTAACGCGGCACGTGGTTTTCCGTAACTGTTACATACCTGCCTACCTGGCTTGATTAATATTCAAAAGGCGTTTATTTTTCAAGTTGCACATAATATATATTTTAACCGACCGACCTTTATTAATCACGTTTGGATCCTCGTAGCGATTTGTATGGATACTTTATAATAGCTATATTCCCACTGTTTTTCCTTCAACTTCACATATGAATACGAATATAATAATATTGTCTTCACTCGTAAGACGTAATCCGTCCATAAACGTTCTATATCCAATAAGTATTCAACTTTTTTGATTGTAATTACATAACATAATATTATATTGTTAACCATGAAAGCAAAATCGAGAAGTTACTCAATTTAATTTACATAAAACAGGCTATAATTTTGTAGCGTGTAGATACTATTCATTTATGAAAAACTAACGAACCAACTAAAAACTTAAATACCTATACATAATATTCAAATATTCGATCCATCATAAAAGCACTGTATAAAATATCGAATGGTATTTTATTATTTATATATAATAACTCCAAAAGCTAAGAATCCTACAGAAATCTCAGTCCTAACAAGTTGACAAACATGAAAAATAAAATTACAATAACGCTTTATTAGCATGTATCGGTACAAAATGGGTTGTAAGAATACGTTATCCATTGATATTACTAACCACACTGGCTTAGGTAAATTATACGTACCTACTTAGGTATTTCGATGTAGTGTTTGTGTATAATTCATTAGTAGTGGTAATAATATAATATCCCAAGTTTTTTCTCTAATTGGGTTTCAAATCCAACATTTAGCTCAAGAAATAAATCTTCTCTTCCTGCCCACCCAGTTATTTCTATTATATTAATTATAGTCATATAATGAATACATTTAATTTGATTTGAGTTTTGAATCCGTTTCCGAATTTATTGAAACTGTATATTTTTCATCGAATGAATGTCTTATTGTGTCATGTAACACAGATTGTGGGGGGACGGAATGGCCGAGTGGTTGCGACGCAGCCGATGCTGGCTCGATTCCCGGCCGCGGGCGGCATTTTTCTTCGGGCAAGTCATGGTGTCCGGAGAATATATGCCGCCATCCTCCCACACGGACATGGCAGATACCTACGGATGCCCACTAAAAAATCTGCTCACGTGTTCCATCCCTCTACAGTTCCACAGGCTAATAACTTCAGTAGTTGAAGCCTCAACCCCCCCCCCCAAAAAAAAAAAATAATAATAATTATACCACGTAAATAGGTAGGTGTGTCTACTTTGTGGGTGTTTAATTATTAATAATATTATACTAAGTCACAAAACCTTCGACAAATATAATATAGTTAAGTAAACGTATACTGTTTGTATAGTTTAGTTAAATACCTACCATGTAATTTGTAAAATTAAGTTTCAATTAATTTGAAAAATTATCTTCATAAAATATAAATTAAATCAAAACATTTATGCAACTACTTTTATATTCATAAATAGTTATTGTGTTTGATTTTACCCATATGAAATATTTTTTTGTGAAAATATGTTATGTACTCTAGAATCTCGCTTTTTACTTTAAACTTGACTTTGCTCGAGTGTAAATTGTTTTTATTTTAAAATCTAACGTTTGTCATATTTATACAAGATTAATAAATATATTTTATAACATTTATAAATGTGTAAAAAATTAAAATAACGAAAAAATAAATTCAAAATTAAATTAAATAAAAGAAAAAAGTAATTTTAATGTTTATTATAGTTAATAATAATAAAAAACTTAATTTACCTCAATATATTATAATTATACTCAGAAGCTATCGAGCAAACAAATGTCTGACAATGAGACAGTATACACTATATAATATCATATGAAATATTATATAAATTAATAGATATAACTATATAAGTTTCTTTTATTACCTACTGCATTTTAGGTAATTCATTTTGCAAAAAAAATATTTTTATTGTAAAAAATAATATACTTTTTATAATTATTAAATGTTTAAACTTTAAAAAAAAATTGTAATTACATTTTTCCATTAGTAAGTACTTAAATTTATAACAATGCAACGTTGATATATTTATGGATTTCACAAAATTATTTTTTCTAAGTAAAAGTAAAGTTTGTCAGGTGCTGGAACGAGCAGAGGCCTTGACGCGTATCCTAACAAATGAGAAGACGTTGGCTCGCTGTCTATTCCCTTATAATTTTTCAACCACATTGAATTCCATTAGTTGATTATCAGTCACACCCCATTCAATAGGTCTTGACAAGTGAACTATAGTCAATAAACGCATTGTTCCATTGTTTTATTCAACTACAGTCTATAACCTCCGACTAATAAACTTTGCACCAAAATATTAGGTATTATAAACGAATTAGCTATTTATCTGGTACATTTTATAATAAATAATAAACTCCATAGATTATCAATCTGTACACTTTACCCTGCTTAGTATGCGGTCATTGTGCTGGTTTGTCTTGTGTTTTCATTCAGGTTTTTACCTGACTGCAAGAACTATCTAAATGTTTTTATTTCTTATTATTTTTAATTTGGTTACTTTTCATTGTCCCACGATGCAATTGGTAGTATTTTTATTAATGATCATCAACCCAACGGACTCAAACCCACAGTTTAATCGGTGTATTTTTAGTAGTTTTTTAACTTTAAAAAATCATTTAAAATGAATGGTATATATAATCAAGGATCTCTTAAGCGTTATTAAAAAAGAAAACGTATATTCGTAAAATATTTATCGTGAAGGGTCACAGTGGAAAAATATTTACTCAATACGATCGTGAGGTAAAACTATAAAAGAGGGAAAAAACTAATCGTAAAAGTCAAACTTTTTTTTTAGCACACGTGGGATTTATATTTATTAAGCCCGATGTTAGCACTAGAGCACTGAGGCACTAAGGAAATTATATTGTTTTAAATCATTTATTCATATTTCTTCGTTAATTTTATTTTCGAAATAAAACAAACGTTATAGGTATTTACGATTTTAATTATGATATTATGTTAATATTGGTTGATAAGCAATTTTAAACATAACACATTTTAGCTTGAATCGGCTAGAGTTTATCAAATACGATTAATTAGGAGATTTTTGAAAGTAGAGTTAAGTGTAAATATTTTCAGTTTTAACTAAGCTCAGCTAAGAATATAAATGAGGTCTCGAATAGTTTCCTTGTGAATATAATTCCTCATTATAACTCACTCTTACTCATCCGTAAAAAGTTTCCACTAAGTTGTATAATTAAATTAAACTACTCGAGTTTGATGAATTCGCAATAGATTTTATATGGTTTTTTTTTTTTTAAATTCATAGTTAAATACATTTTGAAAAAACTTTTTTTGGTTTTAGAAATTACACTAAAAAGAGAATATTACATTTAACATTTTAGTATTTAAATAATTATCTTTAAATAGTTATTTCATAATGTTCAATGGAGGGTAGTTTTAAAATTCTGTTATGAACTTTATAATGTGTCTCGGAAATCAAATCATTCTATACAATTTCCTACATTTACTTATTTTGAAATAATATTATACATCTAAGATGCCTTATAGTTATAGTTGATGAAACTTTTAATGAACAATTAAATACAACTTTGATAATGATAATACTATGTATTATAAACAGGCTACAGGCGCGTAATTTGGTTGGCGTTTGAGTGCATCCACATCTAATTTTTAAAATATCTTCATTGGCTTGCAAACGATAGATAAAATGAAGGCGCTGATGAGTTTTGAATTCAACATCGATTCAGTAGTGTTTAATTTTAATTTTAAAATAACTCTCCTTGTGGTCAGTCAACTGTAAAACTCCTTAGTGAAAGACTAATGCATAGCCCTGTATAATCATAAAATAATAAAACTATTAAATATCTGTAACATATAGGAACTGGTATTAAATAACTTTAATTCGACGCTCTTGGAATTTATTTAAATAATGTTTGTCAACTCCAACATAATACGTTTTCGTTAAGTGTTATACAGATATATTACTATATCACTGTTATTTTTTCTTATAAGAATTTTCCTTCAGAAATTAAAAAGCATTAGAATATTTGACTGGCGTATTTACGGGTGGAGGGGGGGGGTCAATCCCCCCCCCCATAGGCTGTACTTAATATACAAAAGTTTTCGGAGTCTTAACTTGAAGCCTCTAACTTTAAAGGCGGGGCTACTGGATAAAATCATACCCCCCCTCCCCAAGATAAAAATCTAAATACTCCACTGGATAATATTCACTAACACTACATATTGTTTATGATTTTATGTTCTTGCAGTGGTGGTGTCAAATACTACACGTTATCCTGCACTATTTTTTGCTAACCAACTACGCGTGGATGTTGGCTGAAGGTTTTTATTTGCATACTCTTCTTGTGTTCGCCTTTACGTCCGAAGATACTCTAGTCCGATGGTCTTGGACGTTGGCCTGGTCAACGCCGTTGGTCGTCATTTCTCTGTACACATTACTGCGAACTATCTACGATCACACGTCCGAGTGAGTAAAAAAATATGATTTGTATTTGAACGTTTGAAATATTTTTTAGGTTTTTTTTTTTTTGTGAGTAACACTTTTATTTCCTTGTGGTATAATCACAAATCTTACACATAGAATTATTATGAAAAATGTCTTTTTAACTGCGAACACAGCGAACCGCTTATCGATTTTGAAACAACCATTAATAATTGTGTATCAAGACTTCATATTATATTAACCGATTAACGTCTACATTTATCAAATTTAGATTTATATACCTATACTCTATGTAAACAACAAAAGATTCTTTTATACTTAATATATTTGTACGCATTTTAAATTATTTACATCAATGCGTTTGTAAATGGAAACGTTAAATTCTAAAATTTGGTAGCCGGTGGGTACAAAGTGAAGTAAAAATATAAAACCGTTCTTTTTTAATAAAAATATAGTTAAATCAAATAGTTTACGGAGAAATTAGAAGTGACATTTGCTGCATAAAAAGTAGTTTATAATACGAAGGTATGTGGTAATGAGGACAAGTATTACCGACCAGAGCCGTATTTGGCAATTCGCGGTTTTCTTATATTTTATTTATTCATTAGTAGAATATAGGAATAGTCGTGTGGATAACACGGGGAGTCAGAAGGACTCATTAGGTTAAATGTCCCACGGTGAATCGTCCGACTGGAATCAATCGAGAAACATAAAAAAAAAAAAAAATACTACAAGATAAAACAGGTGAACGCAATCAGAAATACAGACATTGTCAACATGAGTGTTGTTTAGAAAAAAAAATAGTGGTCTTGTAAGTTCACTGTGAAGGATTTTCAGATGATCGGATGACAATTAAAAGGACGTGGTCTTAGAGATGTGGAAATAAACACGAAATGTTAAAATTAGGATCTCACGAGTATTGTGATTTTTTGTAATAATCCAATAACACTAATTAACTATAATGGTAAATGAAAACCAATTAACATTTGGAGTCTGATTAACCGTTTAGCGGTTCGCTCTTATAGAAACTGTGTTTTGTTATGTCATGACTTCATCAATATTGAATATAATTCATAACAAAAATATTTAAACAGTTTTAATTAAAAACAAGTATGTAAATTGTTTTTTCTACAAAAATAAAATCAAGCCGAAATATGTTAAGTATTGGATGATACACGGGCAGTAAAAAAGTTTAGTAGGTATAATCAACAGATATAATTCGAAACAATATAAAACAATTTATCAAATAGTTAAATAATAAAGTTACTTTTGTGGAGGTTAATACTTACAATGTAGGTATAGGTTACTACATATATATTTTATTTAAAAGAAACTATGTATATTGAGTATTGACACCAGTTGCCATAACCAAAATCAACCGGACAAATATTTACAACAGTTATTGATTTCTTCGATGTTTATCGACAATTAAATGTTGCACCCGTTGAACAGATAATGTTGTACAGGTACCTAATTGATTACATCCATAGAGAGTTATTTCAATTTAAACGTATTTATTTAAATGGATAGCATAAAATATATTTCAAAAAATTGTTTCACGTCGGTACAGCGTACGTTTTTTAGGGTATAAAAATATACGGTAAATGTGAACATTCAGTGGACGATAAAATGTAAACAATTTTAAGTGCACCAGAAATCGAGTTAAATCGTTCAAATGGTTAATTTATTGCCATCAATTCATTCCAATGGTGTGTTTTCTGTATTATATTACCTCTATAATGTAATTAATAAAATAACGGCACTTGAGAATACGATCGGAGGATTTTTCAAAAATCACTCATCGATATAAGAGGAAATATTAAAAATCAATTGATATAGTCTTCTTCTTCTTCTTAGGACAATCGGTCGCTAGGACCATCCCGTCAAACACCCTTCTCTCCAACCATATCTGTTCGTCGATATAGTCACTAATCTATAATTTTAATTTTCATAGGTTATACTTAAAGCATGTAAGGCCGAAGGAAAACATACTTAATACTTTGTCGACTGATAGTATTAATCTAATATTGTTTTACAAAGCGATTAACCAAGGATGATCGCATCCATTTTTTTTAATTTAATAATTATTTTATTCAAATTCTGATTTTTGGATTTTATGAATAAACTTCAAGACAACATTTTCAAGTACTTGAGATTTTCTTTACTACTTAAAGAGTGCCTTGTCGCAATGCAAACTTCTGTTTATTCAAATGAGACCCGACCCCCCTTTTACTGTAAAATATTTAATGGGTAATACTTTAAAAAAAATGTTTATACCAATAATTCAAAATTGAAAGGAGTAGTTTTTCAGTCATTAACATGTTAATATTAAAGATAATAATAATAACGAAGTCCTTAAAATAGGTTTTACAAAATATATACAAAATATATGCAATATCAAATCTGGTGTATATTATACTTGGTTCATTTTTATAAATTCTAAATATTGATAAAGGTATTAATATAAATTACCAAAATGTTCAACTTACCATAGCCCCCATATATTCCAAACCCATTATAATTGACCTTATAGTATCGACACAAAGTTAAATAATTCAAAAAAATACTCGTTTGAATTTTTATTTTTATATTTCAAAATTTTCAGAAAAATTATTCACTAAACAATAGTTTATAGTATATATAGTTTGTCATTTGACAAACAGAAGTTTGAATCTTAAATAATAAAAAAAAATCTCAACAATTTTAAATATGGTATTTAACTATATTTCAATATGCCAAAAACCATAATATATTGAATAACTATATTATTGAAAAAGAAAAGGGGGTTGAACATGTTTGGTGAATCACCCTGTGTATTGTAATTATGTGAATACGAAATACTGATTTTATTTTCATTGCGCACGATAAAACATGATAAGCCGGCTGATTGCTATTATTTTTCGTACTTATATAAAAGTTGCAAAATTATCTTTTTCATCGTAAATTTATTGTTATTGCAAACATCTATTTGGTACTTTAAAAAAAATATATACGCCTGCTAATGTCCCTGTTATACTCTGAATTTTTTTTTTTTTTTTTTTGTTTATTTAAAGCCTCAACAACAAAGGTTATTGGCTTACGGTATTTACATTTTTACATTTTTGGATATAAAAAAATTATGGTTATTACTAATCCTAAGTTTAAGGGTGTACAAAATAGTGATAAATAATAGAATAGAAAAAAAAAGAACAATGTAATTAAATAAGGTTGTACAGTTTTGTTTGCTGTAAAAACATTAGGGTGTTATTGAAGTTTTTGAGGTCGGGTCCGAGTATTTCGTAGAGGTGGTCCGGGATATTTAGAGAGGTTTTGGTATCCGCGTATTTCCGGCAGTGAAGAAGAACGTGTTCGACGGTGATGATTTCCCCGCAGGTTGTGCATTGGGTTGGATCTTCATGTCTCATGAGGAAGTTATGTGTAAGCCACGTATGGCCGATTCTAAGTCGGTTGACTATGACTTCATGACGTCTCTTGGTGGTGAGTGTTGGCCAAGGGTTGATGGAAGGTTTGATAACATTTAATTTCGTGAGTGATGATGTCCAACGATGCTGCCACTGTTGCAGCGTCAGGGACTGTAATACTCCCTTGATATCGCCCAGGGAGCAGATTTGCACTAAGGAGGCTTCGGGGGAGGTTATGGCTCTTTTAGCGTAGGTGTCTGCTGTTTCGTTGCCAGGGATTCCGATATATGGCTAGGAATCCATACCAGTAACACGTTTTGATTGTTGTGATTTAGGAGGGAAATTTGATTTTGAATCATTCTGGATATGGCATTGGGTTGGTTTATGTTGCTTATGCTGTTGATAGTACTAAGAGAGTCACTTAATATGAGCGCTTTATTAATTTTGAGTTGTTGAATTGTTTCAAGTGCGTGATAAATCGCATAAGCTTCTGCTGTGTAGATTGAACAGAAGTCAGGAAATTTGATCATTTTTGGTGTATTGTTGAAGTATACCGATGCCCCAACTCCTGCTTCAGTTTTGGAACCGTCGGTGTAAAACTTGATGTAATCCTGATAGTCTTCAAGTAATGAAAGTGTCAGATTTCTAAAAGTATAGTCCATAGTCTCACTTTTGATGTGTTGAGAGAGATCAGTATTAGAGTGAAGTTCCATCACCCAAGGAGGAGTGATAGCATGCTCGTGTTTAAGTACTCCTGAACAATTGAACTTGAAGTTGTTGAGCTTTATTGTATTTTCTAAGTTAGAGGTAGTGTTATTATGTATTCTTCTAGCCTTTTGAAGTGTGGAGTTTTGCATTCTCCTTAGGTCAAGAGGAAGTGTGTTTGCAATATTGAGAATGCTTGAGATAGGGCTGGAACGGAATGCACCTGTGGCAAGTCTTAGACCTGAGTTATGAATAGTCTCTATCATTTTGAGTGCAGATTGTTTAGCGTCAATGTAGATGAAAGCACCATATTCTAATTTAGATAAAATGAGAGATTTATATATTTGTTTAAGAGTGGTTCCGTTTGCTCCCCACGAGGTGTGAGCTAATGATTTGATGATGTTCAATTTTATTAGAGTTGCTTTTCTGATATCTTTTAAGTGGGCCTGCCATGTATTCTTGTTGTCGAAAGTAATTCCGAGGATCTTAATGATTTTAGTATATGGTATTGGTATGTTGTTTAACTTTACTTCTAAATTGTTATATTTTCTGAGCCTGGTAAAGAGCGTGCAGCGAGATTTTGTGGCGGAGAAAGTGAAGCCGGTTTTAGTGGACCATTTTAATAATGAGTCAAGTGTATCCTGTAGGGCTGATTGGATGGAATTTGGGTTTTTTCCTCTGCAGAGGATATTTAAATCGTCTGCAAAAAGTGTAGATTGAACCGGAAACTTAATATTCTCGCTTGTATTTCTCGTTGATGGCGATAAGAAATAGAGTAACTGATATAGTAGACCCTTGAGGGACACCGTTTTGTTGAATAAAGGTGGGGGATAGATAATTGTTGATTTTCACTTGGAATGATCTATCCAATAAAAAATCCTTTAGGAAATTGAACATTCTGCCATTACATAGGATGTTACTAAGTTTTTGCAGTATGCCTGGTCTCCAGGTTGTATCGTAGGCTTTGGCTATATCTAGTGCAACTAGTCCTAGGACTTGTTTGTTTTTGAATGTTTTTTGAATGTTATCTTGAATGTCCTGCAGAGAATTGTAAGTGCTTCTATGTTTTCGAAAACCATTTTGTTGAGGAATAAGATAATTTATTTTTTCTAAAAACCAACGCAATCTAATATCGATGATTTTTTCAAGCAGTTTACACATGGTATTTAATAATGAGATGGGTCTGTAGCTGTTTGATTTGAATTTGTCGTTACCGGGTTTTAGTATAGGAACCACTATTGAATGTTTCCAGGATATGGGGAGCTTACCACAGTTCCAGATTTTGTTATAGATGTGAAGAAGGTAGGTGAGTGCTGAGAGAGGTAAATTGTGTAAGAATATGTACGGAATATCATCGGGGCCTGGGGAGAGACTGGAACATTTTTTCAGCGCCCAATTTAGTTCCTTAAGAGAGATCGGAAGGTTTAGATGTACCTGGTCTTGTAAAGCAGGATCAATGTTGGAAATATACTGACTGTTTCTGTTTTGGATGTTGTTAGTCACAAAGTTCATGTCGTAATTGTCATCAGAGCAGTTTGATTGGAAGGAGACTCCGAGGTGATTGGCCACATCAATAGGGTTTGTGTGTATTGTGTTGTCAATGATTAAATGGGTGTGTTTTTCTCTACTTTGACCACGCAAGGATCTAACTTTGCTCCAGATTATGCTAGAGTCGATTTTGGGAGTGATGCTTGAAGTGAAGGATTTCCAAGACTTCTCTTTGCTCCTTTTTACAAGATATTTGGTCTTTGCCCTTAAATGTTTCAGTTTTATATGATCTTCAATTTTTCCTGAGACTTAGAAGGTTTTTAGTGCTTTGTTTTTGTTTTTGATTGCTTCTTTAATCTCAGAGTTCCACCACGGGACGTTGGGTTTTGTTGTTGAAATTTTGGTTTTGCCTATTGCCATGTTGGCTGCATTTATTATTGTCTCAGATATGTGAGTAACATCGATGTCAATTGAGCAGTCCGTTGGTGGAGTGTTCGTATATAAATTGGTTTCGATTAGTTGTATGAAGAGATCCCAGTTGTGATTTTTGATTTTCCATTTAGGAATGTTCGTGCAGGGGGACGTTTTGTTCGTTAGAAGTTCCATTTTAATGGGTATGTGATCACTATCATGTATCTCTGCTAGAGTTGTCCATGAGATTCGTTGGGCTAGTGATGTACTTGACAGGGATAAGTCGATGGTTGAGAATAGGCCGGTTGCTGGGTTGAGTCTAGTATAATCCCCGTTGTTAAGAAGGACTATGTTGTCATTCTCCAAGATTTTGTTAATTTCTTTGCCTCTGGGGTCGGTTCTTTCGGATCCCCAGTTATCACTATGACTGTTGAAGTCTCCTACCAATAAAAAAGGGGGAGGCAGTTGTTTGATTAAATTTTCTATGTCTGAGGACGAGAAAGGTTTTTGGTTTGGAATGTACAGATTACAGATGGTGATGCTGGATTCGAGTTTAATAGTTATAGCGATTGCTTCAAGAGTGGACTGTATTGGTACTAGTGTTGTGGGGTAGTCGGTACGAGCCAATATTGCCACTCCACCGCTCGCCCTATCACACCTTGTACGATTTGAGTAGTAGAGTTTATAGTTTTTCAAAACAGGGATATATGAATCTTTGAGATTGGTTTCTTGTAGGCCAAGAAGAATGGGGTTATATTTGTGGTTTAGTATTTGAATGTTGCTTAGTTTTTTAACTAATCCGTTTATATTCCATTGAATGATGTTTAAGCTCATGATGATTGAAGTAAGTATTATTTGCAAGCATATTAGTGATGTAGAAAAATAGGAATCCTTTTATTCATTTGGTTGAATTAGTTGGGAGGAAGGGTCTTAAACAATAAGTTGGATAAAATTTTTATTTTGGACTTCATTGCACGATCTGTAATTAGAGGGTATATTTTTTCCGTCAAGTCGAGCATGTCCGAGATGTTGGAATTAATTTCGTCGCATAATGTGTATATATTAATATTAGGGTTTCTAATATTTTCCAAAAAGTATTTAAATTGGTCCAGGGTGATTGAGGTATTCTCACTGTCGCTGAAAAAGGCGACTGTAGGTTCAAGCGAGGTGTTGATTTTGTTGTCGTCGGTGGAAGTGAGAGAGTTGGATCTAGAGCGGCTGGTTTTGGCTTTTTTTTTTCAGGTTGAATGAAAGGCATAGGGCTGCCTGGTGCTGTAGGGGAGGTGGGAGATTTAATTGTATTTGTATCCGATAGAGGTCTTTTGGCTAGAGTGGTGATTGGTGTTTTCATTGTTACATGGGATGTTTTAGTATTTGCTACGGGTTGGGATGAAATTATATCATTGTTTTCCTGATTCCAGTCCATGGTACTTTGTGGTTGGGTTGTGTCTATTGGAGGTAATTCAGGAAGCTGAATATCTTCTAGTAGTTCTGTAGTATGATCATCAACGGTTGCAATTGGGCTGTTATGAGAAATTTGTTTTTTACATGACGCAGAAGTGTGACCCACCTCTTTGCATAGGAAACAAGTGATTATGTCGTCAGTAAAAAAGATTCTAAATGAGGTTTGGTTAAAGTTAATAACTAACGACCCGGGTAATTTGGTGATATCTTCTTGATTTATAAACATTTGGCGGCGGAAACTCAGGATATGTTCGTATCCCGCAATATTGATGCCGGCTTTTATATGGTTTAGTTGTGAGACTGGAGATATATTGATGTTTTTTAATGCGTTGAGAATTATTATGTTAGGTATGGATGGACACACATTTGATATCGTGATCTTTTTGGCTGGATTAATCAATCTGCGAATAGGGATAGTGTGTTCATTTATTGATATCGTTTTGGATTTTTCAAGAAGTGTATCGAGTACTTCTTTGCTTGAAAAAAAAATACAGAAACGATTGTTGGATATCCTTGAAGTGAATATTATGTCCCGGGGGGGGATCAGTTTTCCAATTGCAAGTATATATTCTATTTGTCTGATACCGTCTATAGAGTTGAAAACAATTGCTTGTTCCCTGGATGGAGTTTTTTCGTTTGCCGTAATCGTAGCAAAACTGGTAGGTGATTCTGAGCTGCATACTGGGTGGGGTTGGTCGTTGTCGTCGTTGAAAACGATACCGTTTTGGTTATCAGAAATGGAGAGGTTATCGTGTTGATTAGCTGCAGCGGTAATTAGGAGAGCAGCGGTAGTGGCAGAGGTAGGAGTGGAGCGTGGAAGTGGCGGTAATGTATCAATATTATCTACAGAGACATTTGAGTTTGACTTGTTCGAGCTAGGATTTGTTTTTGAACTGTTTGATTTGGTGTAGATGGGAATTTGTTTATTATGGCTTGTGGGTATGTTTTTTACAGAAGGTGTTTTCGAGTGGGTGTTTGTGATATTTTTGTTTAATGTTTTTGTAAAAGGCGGTTTGCCTTTTGTATTTTTGTCGCTCATTACGTCGAGTGTTCCGCGTCAGATAATAAAAATAATGATTATATTACCTGTTCGCTGGTCACCGGCATAATTAACGGAGTGCTATCGGAAGCTATAAAAGCGCACGGTCGCGAAAGATGTACACGTGCTGTTCAGTCGGAGGTCGAACACGTACTGACTCTGAATTAATACTATAATATTGTTAAAACGATAATAATAATTAACGAAGAATTTGGTACAACTTTAATATATGATCAACTATTAGTGTTTCCACTTAGGTACGTTCCTATATTGAAATAAGTCATTTGAATTAAATATATTTTGTATCGATAAAATTACTGTTTACAAACTTTAATATGATTTAAAGGAATTGTTTGTTTTAGCGATTAAACTCCCAATATAAAATAAAAACTGGAAACTCCACTTTAATGGTTAAATAAATAAATCTATTAAATGGTTAACTAAAAAAAAATCACAACGTTTTCGTAAAATTAGAAACTCAAATGTTTTAATTATACATTTACGACCGTTCAGCAACTGAATTATGATCCAAATTAATTAATACTACAATATTTATGTTACATTGATTAATGTATACTATGTTAGGTTGTAAAATAAAAACAGATCAATCTGATATTGATGAATCAGTTAAACGACTCAGAATTTCAGAATAATTGATTCGATATACAACATAATTTCGTTGTTTAATGTAGTAATAATAATTACAGTTGTACTTTCATGCCATGTTTGTTAATGATATGATATTTATATTAAATAATAATGACATATTTTAAATTATCCATACAATAATAATCGACCTACTGCTTGTAAATATTTCTAAAACAAATATAATATAATAAAAGGTATAGTATAGTTCGTTTTTTAAATAACAAGTTGCTTTCAAAGTTTCAAGTTGCAAAGATCACAGAAATTACAGCTCAACTTTCTTAAATAAATAAAAAAAATTGTCTCAGGAATGTTTTACAATTTTTTTTTTTTGGAAATTGCGTTTCAAACCTACATGTGGTACTTAATTTTGTGATCATAGAATTAAAATATAATTTATACGATTTATAAAATATATAAAATGTTCTCAGGTTTCTAAAAACTTAAAAGTATTGTATTTTTTAATTGGGTCACAACTTAGGTACCACATAATTTTGGAATGAAAATCAGTGATAATTTTAAAGACTTAACATTTTAAATTTTAATATATAAATGTATATAGATAGTAAAATATTATAACTGTTGTTTCATCATCTCAGAATTTGGTATAGTTGTTCAATTCTTATAGATCGATTATTAAATTAGAAAAACCATCAAAACTTTACTTCTTTTATTTCAAAGCATAATCATTTTTTGAAATTAAATGATACATCGTTGGTGGAAATTTAGAATGACTTAACCGTTATTAAATAATAGTTTTATATGATAATTCAAATGTTTATCTACTATCCAAAAACTATCATTAAAATGAAGTTAGATTGTATGCGATGAATATTTCAGCAACAATGCTATCTGTTCAACAAAGACGATATTATTTTATTCGTAAACCAATTTGATTTTATTGTATTATTTATTTTGTATTTTTATATTGACGCATTTCGGCAAAAACTTTAGATTATCTAAAAGTTACTTTTTATATTTACTGTAAACTTAAATTTAAGTAGAATTTTTTTTTATCCTTGCTGTAAGTATAGCATAATATATTTTTTTTCACATTTTAAAATTGTGTCTCTGTAAGTAATGGGGTTTAATAAATTGATGGTCTACCAGTTATTTTTGTCATAAATCTAGTGAAAATAAAAACGTTTTATGCGGTTTTTTTAACGCTGATCACCGTCGAGAAGTTTTTCAGCAATAACTTTTAAATATTCAAACCGTCCTTATAGTTTGTGAATATATTAATTTGATTTTATGATTTGTTTTTATGTCTAGTATTCGTATACTTACAGTTAATTTTCACAGTATTTTAATTGTCAAGTATACAGTGTTTAAACTTTATTATTCCGATTTGTTATTGTCCAAATCGTAATTAAACGAAACGGTTTAAATCCAATTAGATTTCATCTCTGAAATTTAATTGAGGATATTTTTATGTGCACTTTTACTTACGTACTATAAATTGGAAATGTATTTCATTAGGAAACCCATGGTGTTTGTTTAATTAATGTGATAATCGCCTATAAAATGCCTATATCGTATAGACCTTATTAATTTGAGTAATATTTATAGTTAATATATAGTTTCATTAAGTATTATGAATAATATCCTGTTCAAATAAATAGTTATTTTTTATTATATCATATATGTTAGTCACGTGTTTATATAAATGCGGATAAATAAAATACAAAAAACAATTTTTCAATTTAAATTTTTTTACACTTAACACCGTCATATTCAACCGTATTGATCCATATTTTCTCAATAAATTATCGCCGTACGTGTATATTGTTTTCTATTTGTTTACGAACGAAAATAATTGATTCAGAATTGCAAATTCGTAGCCAAACGTAAGATATATTTACTGCGGTTAGGGGTTGTTTTTTTTTTAATACCTAATGTTATTTCTGTGTTAGGTATACGGATTTCACAATACCAACCTACGAACACAATAACAATAAACTTAGGTATAATTCATACGTCATGTGTATAGAAGGTAAGAGGGAGAGAGAGTGAGAGAGAGAAAAGACCGCTTGCAGGTGTATTCTGGTGATTATAATATTATTGGTAAAACGATGATGATAACAACTCAAATTCACTCCCCTGAACTATTGCTCTTATACAACAAAATATACATTTAATGTAATAATATTACATAATAATATATACGTACAGAATAACAGAAAAAGGTGTATTTTGTAATACATCATATTATGCTCGTTATGTCCGACCAGGCGTCGCAAATTTTGTTTCTATGGTTACTTGCGATCCTTATAGGTATGCTGACGTGGCCCGTGTTGACTTTATATAGGTACAAAGTATATAATGATATAATATTACATTATTTGACTTTATTTTTGCCATACATTCATATTATATTATAACCTATTTGGATGGCGTTGCTCGTTCATAAATAGGGTCGGCATTTTATTACAAAATGTATTTCATTTTTTTACATACATATTATATTGTATAGTCTAGACTCTAGAACAACGAATACCGAGTACCTACAACAATTGATTTCGAAAATGCAGAGAATTTTATTTCGAACCTTTTGCAACGCATTTTTCATTATTTATAGATGATATTCGCTATCACAGTATTACAATATTTATTTTTAATTTATTTTTTTTTTTATTTAACAATTCGCTTCAACAATAAAGAGCTATTAGTGTATTTTATTTTTAATTATATTTATTTCTATTTCTTTGAATGTATTACCTAAGTACCTACTATATTAGTTAACATCATTCTTTATATTTTATTACTTTGTTGGTTGTTTCTGTTTGGGGTCCAAAGATTTCGTAAAGGTGATATGGAAAATTATTTTCTTTTCTTTCGTTTTTTTTATCTACGACAATCTGTTAAAATGTGTTTCGTGGTGATTTGAGTTTCGCATGTGATGTATATTGGAAGGTCCTCTTAGCCGTTAAGAAACCTTGCCACCTTGGGTTAGCTTTATATGATCTATTCTTAGTATTTTTAATACTTATTTGTCTTTTATATTTGCACTGTTTGCGGACCACGTCTTGTCAGTTGTTCTTTTTATTTCGCTAAGTTTGTTACTTTTTTTTCCATATTTTGTCACATTCTAATATGCAGATATTTTTAATTTTAATATTTATTTATTTATTAATAATTACGATGGGCTGAAGACTGACTTGGTGACGTAATTGCATTAATAATAATTATAAACAATAAACTAATATAATAATATATAAATTATGTAATGATGTTTTAATTTATTTTTAAATTTATTTTTAAATTTTCATCAATATATTATCTAACTGGTATGTTATAAAAACAAGAAAGCTTTATTATTTTTGTGATCATTACATTCAATAAACTATTCAGAGAGCAGCATTGTAAAAACAGAGCTTTCTGATGTTTTTTTTTATAAATAAGTCGAATATTGTCTGTAAGGTTGTCTGCATATAGTTTTGTTTACGATTTAAAGCACTTTATTACGAAAATAAATAATTGGTTCCAAGCACTATAATTATTGAGTCTTGATTCCCCTATCTCTTCAAAGGCACGTTTTGCAAATTGTTGAGCCCTCCTTTTGCCTATATAATATTTGCAGAAAAGACGTTCATGTTAAATGATAACAATAATCAAAATAAAAAGGAGCATCATTACTAATTAGCACCCCTTAGGGTCTTATAGTTTAAAACCAATTCATATTATTTTGCTTCGTTAAATTAATAAATAATAATTTCATTACTGAACTATTCATTAGCATCTGTAGAACGGTTATTATTTTTTTCTACTTAAATAATAATAAATTATTATTACACTTAAAATATATCAATATTATATGATATTTAACTTAAAAAACTAAATTTGTTTTAATATATTAATTTATAATTTAAAAACAAAGTATTTATATTAACAGTTTCTTTGAAAATATTTAATTTAAAAATAACGACACCTAATGAAAAATCATTATTTCTGAAATTTTAATAACACTAACGTATATTAAATTTAACAGCTGGTATATTAACACCATATTGGTGACCGCAGAAATCGACTACCCTAAAATGTTGAATGTAGGTCGTCAATCTCGGTGAGGTTGTGGTATTTTTGAGAAGAGGCTAATTAAGAATTTTGTAAGTATTCAAAAATGTGCATACTCCTAGAAATATGCTTAATATTCGTAATACCTACCAAGAATTTTTTCTAAAGTAAGAATTTAAAGTATTTCGCATATTATATTATTTTTCTCTTTTTATTTATAACTTCATATTTTATTATAATTGTATAAATTATAATTGCATATTTTTCAAATTTTTGAAACCTTCGATTTTATTTTTTATTTTAAAGTTCATCCGAAAAAGTTTTGATTAATTTTAAAGAACACTATATGTTATTGAGTTTCTATTCATGCGATCAACAAGTTTATCTAACACAATATTATTTTATCAAAATAATTATAATGTATATTACCTATGTAAAATTCAATATTTTCGGTCGTTTTTATCTAACTTTCTTACTTTCTACAAACGCACCACCACTTTTAAATTCAACTGTGGTTGTTCGTATTACCTACCAGCCTAATAGTATGGTTTTAATATGCAATTTATAATATAAAACATTTGTTACGAAATATATTACGACCTTATCCAATGATCTGACAAGGTCGAGTTAAGCATAAAAAGAAAATAGAGGCTTAAAATGCACGCATAGGCAATTCAACACGCGAAAATTAGACGGGTATAATTATAGGAAGCAATCAAGCAACATGATTCACGAAAAAAATTACTTGAGAAAATATATAGCAAATTTTTAGTTAATAATATATTAAGTTTGAAAATACAATCATCTTATAAAAAATGTATGCTGTATTTTTCAAATAATGTAAAACAATATCAACAGAGTTGTAGCCAACTTAACTAGAAATTATTGTGGCGTATTTACAAAATTGTATAGATAATATTCCCCTCGGCCCGCATTATATTGCACTACCCGTCACCAATGGCAACTAATATACAAAAAATTCTAATATCTATTAATATACTAATACTATTATAATCTGCAACTAATGGCAATCATTTATAAACATATAAACTTAATTTTAAAAAAAATATTGTGAAACCCAATGTTCCTGAAATAATAAAATGCATATCAACAAAAAAATTGTGATATCCCAACAAAAACACTAAGTATAAAAAAACGCCTCTAAAAGTTGTGATATAATTTTATAGCTAAGTCTTTGAAATATATATATACCTATATCATTAAGGTTAAAATAGTCTGCTAAATAATTTAACGTAGCTTGGCGACTTAAGTTAAACGTTTAAAAATACTAAAGAATCATGATTACACAAAAATATAGTCCACGCTTCTATCATTGAAATAGGCTGTATATTATTACTAATCAAGTCACCAAGCTAAGTTCAATTATTTAGCAGACTATTTTAACATAAATGATATTATATACAATATATTTCAAAGAATAAGCTTTAAAATGATATCGCTACTTTTAGAGTCTTTTTTTTTTATACTTAGCGTTTCGAGTTTTGAGTAGTGTTTTTGTTGGCTTGAGTTGTTTCTGAAAATGTACATTAACATTGAATTATCGTTTCTTGTATGAAGTTGTAAAATAATAACACTGAATATATTTTTAAAAATAATATAATTATGTTATGAGTATTGATTTAGAAATTTCCATTGATTAAGCGACATTAAACCTAACATAAAGTCTCTAGCCCTTCTCATTACCACCATAACTTGCAGGTGCTGGATCAACGAGTCGCCGTTCACAGAGGTGCTGGTGGTGCCAGTGTGCATGTCGATGGCTCTTAACCTGGTGTTCCTTTGCAACATCGTCCGAGTTCTGTGGGTGAAGCTCCAGGCTGGCCCGTCTCATCTGTCCAACAGTACGCCATCGCGAACGCTTTTGCAGGCGTTCAGGGCTACGCTTTTGCTGTTGCCTTTGCTAGGGCTTCACTACCTGCTCACACCGTTCCGGCCGCCCAAACAACATCCCTGGGAACCGTTTTATGAGGTCGTGTCCGCCACCACGTCATCGTTCCAAGTGAGTGTGTTGTCGGTGAATTTTGGCTTACTTTGGTGAAAACTTTAAAACTAAAGGAAGAAAACTTTAAGCTATGATATAGAGTTAAATACAGATCCATTTTTTTTTTTACATAATTTCTCCAAGTCGAGTGCCACACGCATTGTTGCACAGAGATGATAAAAAAAATACCTAGTTACGATAACAGATTGACAGATATAGTTCATTGATATCGTAGGTACTTCTCTAGACAATATAATATAGATATTCATAATAGATATTTAACTAGACTAAAAAAATAGATAATTTAAACCTAGCATTTGTCATATTATATGACTGTATATACAGTGAAATCTCCCCTAACCGTCATCTCTAAATAGCTGATATCTCCGAATAGCGGACATTGTTTTTGGAAAAATACAAACTTCTACTAACTAAACCCTCTAAATAGTGAATAGTAGACAACATTTAAGTGACTGAGAATATCTTGAATTTAGAGGTTTCGCTGTACAGAATTTCTACTATAAATATATAATAATCTAAAATTTGAAATCTTCACACTCGTCAATACGTGTGTATACTAAATATGAAATACTAAAGATATTAATAATAAGTCATAGGCACGATCGAGTGTTCAATTTGTATAGATAATGTTGGAAAATGTAATAAAACGCACCTCATAATTAGTTCATACTGGAAACAAAAAAATCTAAAATATATATGTATACAATATACATAAACTTGATTTTTTTTATCTAAATATTTCAAGTTAAAATCTGGTCGAAATTAGATATTTAAACGAAGAAATAAGAATAACAATTTCGATCATTGTGTTGTAATTATTCAAAAATACTTTTCGTAAAGAATTTAAACTTTTAAGTACTTACATATTATAACCTATTATTTATTGTATTTTATAGTGACATTTTCAAATCATTTAGATTAATTTTATGCTATCACCTTTTCGTAGTTTTTACCGTATTATAATATATATTATACGATAATATGCTGAATGATAGTCTCCAAGTAGGTTAGAATCGTTTTTCCTATAAAATTATATCATTGAATTCAAATTTAACCCATCAATTTCTGTAACCTACCTAGTAACGATGTAAACTCGAATCATACCGTAATTCAGTAGAGTAGTTACCTACATTCCTCAAATTTTTAAAAAAAATTTTACAAAATAAATAAATTTATGAATTTCTTGATTTAATGTTTGCTGGTCAACTAAAGCAAACTTTCAAACATAACGTCATCATTAAAAGATTCTATTATGTACTATAAATATATTTTCATTCTAAACCAATTGAAAAAAGTTATTAATATTATATTTAAATTGTAATTTATTCCTGTGTATGGACCAGAGTTATCTACAAGGTACCTAGTAAAGCAATAAACGTGGTATCTATGGACTTATCGTAGCGATGAAATTTATACAATTCACACAAGTTGTCTGTTAGTTGAAAATATTATGTTAATACATTTAGTTTATAAAAATCCCAACAAAAGATAAAAGTATTTGATCTTAAACTTTCAAATTCTTCCTCTTCTCGCTTTCCTAATATCATAGACATTTTATAAAATCGATTCAAGTCATTTGCATACTTAACCAAAGTTTACCCAACGTTGTGATATTAAAATACTATTATGATGTACTAACATGACCACAGTAATAGTAATCGTTTTATTTTTTTAAATATAATTTTCTTATAATATAATGATATAAGTTAGGTACATGAAAAAAATTATTATTATAATGGTATCGTGACTATACCTACTTTAGGAATATAGTATTTCATCCATGGTAAAATATTATGCATGTAGGTAGAACAATTAAGATAACCTGCATAATGCTCATACAAGGTAGTCCTTTAAATTACATTACTGACTTAGTGAAGCGTTCTACAAAAACTATGTAAATATTAGTTTATGAGAGCCAAAAAAATATACTTAATTTTTTTTTTTTTTTTCGGAGAACATTAATTTGAAGTGTAAAAAAATTTCATAAATCCCGACAAGATGCAAATCTGAATTGAAAATACCAAAATTTATAAAAAAAATGTATATAAGTTTTATATTACATTATTGCCGTTAACGTCTTGAAAAAAGTAATTTCAAATCTCTCCAAAGACCTATTAATGGTCATTAAAAATATTAATGGTGAAATAATATCACAAGGTATAAACATTTTCATGTAAAAGGCTTTTCATAACAATACCCATTTGTAGAGTTTAAAATCTTACCAAACAATTTTATAAATTCCGAGATAATTCCGAGAACCATATTAGTATAGAATATAGATTATAGATAACAAAGATATGATAACAAAATATTAGTATAAATTTTCTATATAAAATTGTAATTATTCACTTTTAATGGTTGTATTTAATTAGGTCAACTATATTATTTTACACTAAAATAAACGATTTGATTAAAATAAAAATCCAACTTTTAAATATTTGAAAATGAAAAATTGTAATAAAACCATAATAATGTACTTATAGTTTGTATCAAACTTATAAAATTCGATATTTTATTATAAACTTTTCTCATTTAAGTATAATGCCATAAAATTCCAATATAATTTCTTAAATGAAAATAAATACTCTCATACATATTACTAAACGATTTTGGTGGAATTTTACAATAGTTGTGTATTTTATTTGTTACTTTTTCGTCCAAACTATTTAAAAAATGTTATTTTACTAAAATGTGTACCTAGTTCACTACATTATTTTATTCAAAATACTAAGTACTGGCTATATCACAATTTTTTTTTTTTTTAATTATATTCAAAAATAAAAATAATGTGTGAAATAAAATATATTTGGTGTGTACACCATTAATTAGAAACAACCTTGTAACAGAAGTAACGTTGAACCATTACATTATTATCCTCGTGGTAAAAAATATTAAGCTGGCTTGAGCCTTTTATAGTTTCTAAATTTCCAAAATTTAAACACGGAATTCCTTTCAAACGATTTTTTATTGGTGCTTCTAGTTTAGTTAAACGAAAATATCGTAAACCTACAGTTAATAATATCCATACACTATTAAGTTTTAACCGACCCCAGTCAGAAAGAAAGAAAAAGAAGATTAATCACTCAATACTTTAGAGTACCTACCTCCTAGACAATTTAAAACGGTCATATTGATTAATCGTGAACGCAACAATAGTCACCATCGGCTTTATCTTGGTAACAAAATATATTCATTAGACATAACAATATGATCGAACTGAACATAATTATATAAGTTCAGTGACACACACAGAAATAAGAGGTTATGTGGGTGATTACTCCCTAAGCCACTACCGAAAGTCATTGAGAATAATTTTTAATTTGGGTTTAAAATGTAGCTTAGGTTAAACATCTTTTTTATGATCATCTAGTATTACGGATATCAGTGGTATTATTAATAAACTGATAAGATAACTACAATATGATTTATTGGGATGGATGGATCATAATAAATAATAATATATTACTATAACCATTAACCAGTATATCTACTGACCTCCTTTCCATGAATAATTTTTCTGAGCCTCAGAATAAACATAATATAAAAAGTATTATTAATACTAATACAAAAACAATAATAATTATCCGAGAAATAATTTTCAGTGAAACTCTTATAAAAATGTACTATCACATATTATTATTATAATATCCAAAGTATAGTGACACCAATAGTTATTAAAATTAAAAATATATATGCAAAAACTTGATGTTTTTTAAACCGTAAATTTGTATCGATAATCTAATTTCAAAACTATTTTTATAATATTTATTCAACAGAAATAATAGTAATAATAATTGTTTTATAATGAAATTACGTAATATATGAGGATTCAGTTGCTAACTGATGTTTATTGAATACTGACACTCAGACCTCAGTTGTTTGGACACCGTCAACGAGTAAACACTACCGCTTACTGTACTTATAATTATATTAAAATAATATTATCGAGTATGAATATTCTTTATAATTACTGCCGAAATGAAATAAATTACAATTACACGGTGGCAGCTGCTGTTGTTCGTTTCAATCCCCTCTGCAATAAGGGCAAATTAATTGTTTCCAAACACCAATAAATATGTTTTGATAACAACATACAATATTTTGATACCAATTACCATATAATATTTTTTGTTGTACACATTTATTAATAATTCAATTATTAATCAACATAACTATTTCGAAAAGATTATACCTAAGTTTAATAAATTAAAATTAATGCAAATTTGATGTAAAATACTCCATGTTAAAATATTGTATTCTCTTTTTATCAATAATTTTATACAATTCAATTAGGTATAAAGTTTTTAGTGAAATTTCATCAATGCATTACATTGAATTAACGTAGAAATATATGTTATAATTTGCCTAAGGGAACATCATACATCAAAGAGCATATTTAATATTAAATAGGTATATTATGCTTGGTTATTAGTGGTATATGATAACGTCTTACTATCGGTAAATGGACAATTTCCGCCGACCATTTTCGGTGTTGTAGGACAATGTCACTCCAAACATATTTTAATGTGGACTTCATCCAGCATACTTAAAAAAAAATAATTACAGTATGAAATAATTTTTTTTTTTGTCTTAAGACGGAATACATTTTCAAATATTTCCATAAATATAATGAATTATGGATGTATATTTTTGATCATTGTCTATTTGAAACAATACAAATACCATTAAAATAATAAGTAATGTTTAAAACAAGAATGATAAGAATCTCAATATTTTATAAATACCTACCCATTGTAATTACAGTACTGTACTACTGTACCATTTAACAAAATACATTATACTATTATCTATTTGACACAAGAAAAAAAAAGGTGGGCAAGTGGGTGTCGCTCTGCTGTACAGTAGGTTACAAGTGGGTCACTGTATAATGGATGCTATTAAATTTGAATTCAATGATATAATATCATTGTATAAGAAAAACGATTCTGAGCGGTGATGGTATGTCAGTCTATGTATAAGGCATATTATATACATATCTATGGTATTAAACAAAAAATTGACCTATAATAGGTACCTATAATAAATTCCAAATTAATGATATCACAATATCCATTAGATACTTATAACGCGTTATACATCAACAAAAACCGTGATACTATCATAGATATATAATAGTACACTTTAGAAGTTTCAAGTACCCACGAATAATATTATACAATCACAACAAAATAACTAAAATCGTAATTCTTGGTTTAAATATGAAATTTTGTCTAAATTTGAAATTAAAATGTCTGTAAAAAATAACTGTGTTTATATATTTTTTAGATTTTTTGGTTACAGTATGAATTATTTAAGAGAATCTTTGTTTTAAATTTTCAACTCTTAGTTATAAAAACTGAACATTTTATAATTTTTTAATTCCAACGATTGATAATTTTCGAGATTTTGATAAATTTTGTCAAAATTCCAACTTTAAATGCTTATAAAAAAAAATCGTGCCTATGTATTTTTAATATTTTTCAACTGATATTGTAACAATATATCAGGAGCCTTGTATTAAATTTTTACACTTTTTGGCCCAACAGATAAAACTTTATTGATATTTATAGAAAAAAAAACTAAAAAAAATTGAAAGCTGTAAATGTCCATAAACAGCTCAAAAAGAGTCAAAATATTTTCAAAATTGTATGGTGTATAGGAAATGCTAATTTAAACATTCAGTGAAATTTTCATGTATCTACAGTTATTTGTTTTTGAATTACAACAAAATAAGGAAATCGCTACATGGGAAATCGAGTGAATATTCAATGTTGTAAAAATTTGAATTTCAAACGCTCATAAAAATTTAATTTGACTTTCTTATAAACATTTTTCTTTTGATAAAGGTAGACAAACTTATAAGGAATCTTGTGTTTAATTTTCAAATCTTAGATTTAAAAAGAAAAATTTTTACGAATTCTTAACTCAAAATAATTTGCTAATTTTCGTGATTTTCCCATATTTTGTCAATTTTTGAACTTATACTTTTGACCCCCCAAAGTACCAACTAGATTCACTTTCCTATCAGAAAAGCTACTGATGAAGAAAATCCAAGCACTTTTACTGTCCTAAAACGTGATGACAGACACAAAAATATAAATAAAAATATAAAAAGGTGGGCAAGTGGGTGTCGCTCTGCTGTACAGTAGGTTACAAGTGGGTCACTGTATAATGGATGATATTAAATTTGAATTCAACGATATAATATCATTGTATAAGAAAAACGATTCTGAGCGCAGACGGTATGTCAGTCTATGTATAAGACATATTATATACATATCTATGGTATTAAACAAAAAATTGACCTATAATAGGTACCTACCTATAATAAATTCCAAATTAATCATATCACAATATCCATTAGATACTTATAACGCGTTATACATCAACAAAAACCGTGATACTATCATTTACACCAAAATCCAAATTTGATTTTTTGGAAAATCGATTTTGCGTAAAAATTCCCGTTTTTCCTTAATTTTTATGTTGTTTTTCCCGGCGCTTGTGAAAACTACTGGGAAATTTATACTTTTGACCCCCCAAAGTACCAACTAGATTCACTTTCCTATCAGAAAAGGTACTATTGAAGAAAATCGAAGCACTTTTACTGTCCCAAAACGTGATGACAGACACAAAAATATAAATAAAAATATATATAAAAATATAAATAAAATTATAAAAACATACATCATTGTAAAACCAATACATTCATCGCTCCGCTCAGAATCTAAAATATAAAAACATACATCATTGTAAAACCAATACATTCATCGCTCCGCTCAGAATCTAAAATATAAAAATATAAAAACATACATCATTGTAAAACCAATACATTCATCGCTCCGCTCAGAATCTAAAACTATTACAATAATAGATTATAAGAAACATACTTAGCAATGTCTTAAACAAATTAAGAAAATATTATATGTCTTTAAATAATAGTTTAAATACTACCTATATAAATAAACTATAATTAACAATTATTAAAAATGATACATTTTGTAAAATAAAATTGATTTCTGATTTTTTGTTATCTCTAAAAGCATATTTTTAAGCCTTTTTCATGGTTAATATTTTTTTTTCTTGTAAAAACCGTATCAGTTTGGATATTAAATAATTTAATAATTTGGTCTCTGAAGTGCTTCAATGAAGTTCCAAATATTTGGAATTCTTATCAAACTTTAAAATTTATTATTGAAACCTTCAATTATATTGTTTGTTTTACCTGTGTTTTTCTTTGTACCATTATGTACATTCCACCAATAAGGAGGAAATATTGCCGAAGCCACCACCATGATTTCAAACCATATGATTTTGTAGTTCTCTTGTAGATTCCATTGACGTATTTTCTATCAAAGTTTGATAATAGACAATAGTTCATCGATATCTAAATCTTTGAGGTCATTTGATAAATCATTCTGCAAAGAAATTACTAAATAAATATAACAACCTATATACATAATTGTAGTAATTGTAATAAAATTATTAACGTATATAAAATAGTACATACCTTTTTTAACATATTTCAGAGACAATTAAGCTAAATAATTATTATAATTACGATGGGTTGTTGTAAAATACTTTGATTATTATAACACATCTATCATTTATTATATTTATTGGAATATTAAGAAATGTATTCCGTCTTAAGACAAATTCGGACATTAGACAACAAAATAATTTCATATTAAAATACATTTATATTCAAATAATCCAATTACAATTATTTTTAAATAAACACTTAGACATTAAATTCAAAAACAAAAATGTTATTTATATTTTTAGTTGTACAATTTGTAATATTCTGAATGACTATATCAAATGATTTTTATTCTAATCAAAGTATGGTTTTAATATATTTAAATTTTAAAAAATGCTAACTACTTTGATTTATTTAATTTAAATTTATGAGATTTTGGCAAAAAAAAATGCTTTAATTTTTATTATGAATAGTTATGATATGATAGTTATATAATATGTATAATGTATATTATGCATAGCAAATCCTTCAACATGCGATTCAGTATTTTGTAGTAAAAGCGTATGATGTATTAATGTTGTAACTTAACGAGAATAAAAATAACATTTTTTATAACATTGTGATAAATGATAATACATAATATTGTTTTCAATGACGATCATTGATCATACGATTATGATTATACCTTATAGATAATACTGTCATAACTAATAGTATAAACATGGGTAGTATAGGATACGATCGACACAAATTATAATTGACCTGTAGTATTTATTTTTTTTGTAATTCGTAGTTAATATCTTATTTTTTTTTTAAACATTTTTAATTATGATAATAATTGTAGTAAACATTTTAAAACATTTTAAATTTACAAAGTATTTTTATTTTACAGGGACTCTGTGTAGCAACGTTATTTTGCTTTCTAAATGGAGAGGTATGTACATTTTAAAATTATATTATAAAAAGTGCAACGTTGAAAATGGTTAGGTGGTTAGAAGAAAAGATTGTTGCCAAAGAAATTGCTAATACAAAAACATTCTATTTTTTTTTTCAAAGTTTTTTCTTTTAAAACACACGCTTATGTATTATGTTAAAAGAAAGTTTTAACGTGTCACATTATTGTTGAACCGTGTGTTTTGTTCCGGATTAAATCTAATTGTACAAGAAGTATTTCGAAAAAGAAAATAAGAATGATTTATTACAAAACATGCGTTCGTTTCGATCGGAGCGAGATATAATGGATATGTATCCAAAATACACGCCATAAACAGGTAACGAGCCTACCATAAACGCGGTTAACCAGCGATTGGCGCTTATGAATATTTTGATTGCATAATATGTACACTGTTGTTATACATTATACTTTAACGCCATAAATCATAATCGTATAGGACTTGTTTTAATATGTTCGTGACTTTATAAGTATTAATTTTAGATATGGTGCGGAATTTTCATAAACATCGAGGGAAACACTCGCAGTTCTCGTTAATCCGTATACTTTTCCATACAACTATTCCGTTTTGCAATCATCACGATTTGTTCGTCCAAATAATATCGTACATAAGCGAATGGTACTTCCTGACGTAGTGATAAAGCATTTTATAATCAGCATTTTCCCGAGGATAGTCCTTAGTACTAATTTTTACATTTTATCCATGTAATACTTAGGTATATATAATATAATAAATTTAATTTCAAATTCAAATATTAACACTGCGTACAACCAAGTACCTAATCTGCAATCGATATAAATATTAAATCACGGCCCAGCGGGGAGAGGGGTTCAGATCCGATTACCCTCCCCACTGGGCCACCGACATGTCAGTTGGCCCGAAAATAACATAATAACAATATGTCATGTCGTATGTCGATTTTTCTTCACAGGTCGTAGCCCAGATCAAGAGACGGTGGCAATTCATGTTTTTCCGGACGAGGGCCAACTCGTACACAGCAACAACGGTCTCGGTACGTCAGGTTAGCCACTGTTTACTATTTGCACGTTGCACGTTCCACTCATCCACCGCAACCTGCACAATTTGATAATAATATGTCCCAGAAGCGCTGTCCGAAGACACATAATTCTTGGGGCCGCTTCTCACGCAGTGGTGGATCTAGGGGGCATTTCCCCCCCATGTCCCCTCCAAAATTAAGCCTTGGATCCACCACTGTTCTTACACTGTATAGGTCTTTACTCGGGTGGACGTTTCATCGTCGGTCTCTTACCGCGGGGAGGCCGCAAGTGGCGACTTACTGTCGTCGAATATGCGACTTTTGACAATAATTCCGAAACGCCCATCGTCACCCCTTTTCTCTCGACTGGTCGGATTACTTACGGTCCACGTGAGTGAACGCGTTTAGGCCGGCAACTGTAAGATTTCCCGTCGGTTTTCCCGTCCCGGCGTTAACCGTTATTGTACAGTTATCGCAATAATGCACTCTGTATACCGAGTGGCGATCGGTGCGGGCTTTGGCGTTTTTCCACCGATTCATTTCCGGTCCCGCTACACCCGCACACAACGGAAGTCGACCGGTAACGCTTCAAACAGCTTACAGTCGTAGTTTAAATCGATCTATGGTTCGGTTTTTCTAAACCCACATACATAGGTTATTTTATTTTAAAATTTTCCCCGGTCCTTGTAAACTATGGATTTTACCGTTTGGAGCACTTCGTATTCTTCGGTAACAAGACAACATTGGTAGTGCTCGACCCCGGGTATGATGATTCGATCTATTATCAAAAACTTACATCCGTTTATTCTAAAAAACTTTCACATTTTCTGCCCGAAATCATTACTGTTAAAACAAGAGGCAGTTTTAAAAATATGTTAAATGCATTTTATAACCACCTGCAGATTGGTGGTTTCTTTGAACACCAAACGTTCATTATATTATCCAATAGAACATTTTCGATTGATTTGATAAAAGTAAGTTAGTAACGGTTCGATAAAAATATATATAGGTACGATAAAAATTCACTGATCTGTGATAAAACTAAAAAAAAACAATTTATCGTACGTGAAATCATTTCATCTTATAGTTGTGTACCTACCTAATATTAAAACGAATTACCATGAAGATACATTTTCAAATCAAAACAGATCTTCATAAAATATAATATCGTGTTTTGACAGAGCACACAAATTAATATGTCTCTGGTTGTACAGTTGACTGCGTCAGTTGCAGTATCACATGATACAGTAAAGTTTATTACTTTCCTAGCGACACTATATAGAGTCATTCTACTTTTCAATAGATTAAATATTATTTATTTTTTGTATAATGTTTATTCGTAAATCACATACGCGTATTTCGTTAGATATATTACAAAATGTATTTATAGTTCAACACTGATATTGAACAAAAATGACGTAAATAAGTATTTATTGGATCGATATAATAAGTAGTAGTTATAACTCTTTATATATATACCTACCTGTTTTTATTTTATGCGAAAGTGGCTTTTCTTGTAGATGGCAAGTACACTGAAATCTCTCGTGAAGATTACTTAAGACTGCTGTGTGTGTTTGATGGTTATGGAGAATTTTTGGTCGATAAGACCGTGTACAGATTACTGACGAGGCCACGAGGGCTTAAATGTACATAATATATACTTCGGATTATCGCAACCACGTCACCGTACTTATGTAAAATGTAGCATTTTTTTAATTTTCAGAAACTACACATGGAGATCGTTTTAATAGTAATTATTTTTATCTTGTGTGTTATAGTATTTTTCCAGCTGTTAAATTATTATTGTTGTGTGATGTAAACAGTGAATTTATTGAGCTTCTACTAATTTAACGATTTATGGCATAGAATATTACGGATGTATTTTACAATAATTGCCTACCTATCTAACGTATTTTTGTGTTGAGACATTTTATTTTTCATCATTAATAATGCCTATTACTATTTTATTTTTCATATTATATAAGTTAGGATAAAATTTTTTTAATGATTTTCGAGATTTTTCAAAGCTGTTTCATTTTAAACGAATATATAGTTATACTACCTGTAATATGTATACTCTTAGGGTGGACATTTTTACGCAACTTTTGTTTGTTGGATAATATTTGTTTTTACAATTTAAGAAGCAGTAGTGTAAGTCTAGCGTGATATATTTTATAGAGTGAATGATATTGATGTTTCGATATATTTTCTCGTTTCCACAGATTTTTATTTCTCATCTGTGCAAAGTTATTTTTATTATTTAGTTACTTTTCGTGTTCATATTAATTATTCACACCATATTTGTCACATATGTATTTATTTTTAATGGATAAGTTTTTTTTCTGTAATTAGACTTCATGATTTTTAGGTCTTACTTACTCGGAATTTATAACATAGTTTCCATCTGTATTTGCGTTTTGGTTCCTCGATAATACTACAGCTATAGTGTTCCACAAATTGGTACTTCTTTTAGATAACCATATTATAAATTTGGGGTTTGTATTTTTGTATGGCTTCAGGCAAGTCACTTATTATTTTGGTATCAAAAAGTATTATTATACTTCTTTCAGACTAGTAATAGTTTCTGTTATTCATACAAACAAGTAGTTCAGAACTATATTTTTTTTGTAAAGTATTAATTTTTTTAAGTTCTCATAAAATATAGTCGTTATAGTTTACCTTCTCAAATGTATTTAGGTATGTAATCCGTGAAGTTGGTTCATTACTTCTTGCAAATATAAAATTTGAGTTCATCAAATAATACTCACAAGTCACACTGTGCTAGAAATTAAGACTTAAACCTAAAACACATATTGACCCACAATAATTCTGGTATTATAATTTTTAAGTCTTTGTATTTCAATTAGTCTGTTTTGGTATTGTAATATATGTACTGTTAATTGTTTTTAAAGTTCTCATTGTTTGCTGAACTGTATAGCATAATTTAATATCCCCGTTACAATGATCACATTGTGTGTTTTTCAAACTAGGCAGTACCACTTTTGCATAATGTGTGAGTATGAACATAATTTCTTTGTAAATATTTGTGTTTGTTCTAAAAATTTATGCTTATATGTGAGTACATGACACTACAAACTGTGCTAGATGTTTCCACTTAATCATAGTATAAAAATATAGTTTAACTAATAGTGGTTAATGGGGAAAAATTAACAGCAATTTAAGTTTTTACCTAGCTGCACTTATAGAGACGTTTCATTGAATGCAATTAAATTATAATATGTAATTAAATGTGATTGACAGCCGACAGGTTTTGTTTTCGCATTATTAGCTCAACAGTTTGGTTTATCTTTTTGTTAGGATGAATAATCTGAGTTTAATCTTCAAATATGTGGTAGGTATAAGAGTAAAATATTTAATTCCCATTTTTATGGAGGTGGTTAATTATAGTTGTTTTGGATTTGTCCAGTGTTATACATTTACTGCGATTGATTATTTTGCCTGATTATCTAGTGTAGTATTATATTGTTGCGACTACCGTGTGTTTATAAATAATGGCGTATAACCAACATGTTGATCAGTAGATAAACATGTTATCGGAAGCTTTTAAAGGCGAACCAACACAAATGATTTTCGGTTAACCGAATAGGCTATACATTATGAGGTTAATACCGAACACGGACGTACCGTTTAAAAAATTCTGTAGGTATAACTATAGCTGTTGTTAGTAAGCATAAGGTCTGTGGGAACAACACGTTTTTAGATATTAATTAAAAATAATTGAATTTAAATCCAATAAAGTACTAGAATACTAGAAATGTTTTGTTAAAGTGTAAAGAACGATGCAATTAAAACGCAGAATTATCTTTAAATATTTATAGATAGCGTAAAAACCACAGATCGTGTGTCTTTTCTTATCGTGAAACAATATTATAACGCATTATTGCCATTATTGTCTCTTCCCAAAAGTTATTTTTCTTCTATACCTATATAAATGCAATCATTGAATAAATGTCAGCGTTCGGTTGATTAATAGTTTAAATCATACAATTTCAGAAAACACATCGTCTTTAACGAAACTTTTACCAAAACCATCTCACAATTCCAATTTCACTAGTAATTACGTTTGTAAAGAAATATCAGTGAAGAGGAAAAAGTAGTTATTTGGATGTATTGGTCAAAACTAAGTTTTGTACTTTATCATCCCTTTGGTACAGAAATTCACTCTCTAAATAAATACTATAAAATATGTCTTTGAGAAACGATTGACACAATCGTTTATCTATGCTTAAAATCAATTGTAAAAATGTGTTCAGTAATCAGTTCTTTTTTCTCTCTTTTAATGTGTTTTTTATAATGCAAATTCTCACTCGAATTTGAGTTAACTAAAAACATTCTCTCAATCGAAATATTAGAACCAACAATGGAAAAAGCCAAAAAGTTACTCTACAGCGTCGTAAATCTTGGATGACCTCGTCATTGATAAGGTCATTATAATAGATATTTTAAACTTTGGTTTAATTATAAATCATTGAATAACATGAAAAACGATTCTTAGCAGATATATCTTCCAGTCTCTATATTTTCAAGGATATTTATAATTTATTCATATTTATGTCGGTAATTGATTTTGCTACCTATCGGTAAAATTAATCTAATTTTTACTAAAAACATTGAATATATTACTTGATTAGTTATTAAAATAGTATATCATATTATTAAGTAGTTTCTAATAACTTATAAATTAATACAAACGTATCGTATGATGGTGTGAATAGATTTATGGAATCATTAGGTAGCTTTAAAACTAGTCTAAGTATTTTAAAATTTTAGTTTTCTTTGGTCCTAAAGATGATGTAACAAAAAATTCACACACACACACACACACACATCACTAACTGTAAAACCAATATATTCATCGTTCTTTTTAAAAATTTTCTAAAAAATCATGTTTGTTTATTTTTTTAATTTGTGGTTAAAACCACATTGATTAATTTTTACTGATTATTAGTAATGCACACAAAATTTGTGACAAATAATAAAGTATGGAGTTATAA